ACCGCTAAAGACTCGTACTTTAATGACGTTTTAAGCACAAACGCCGCTATATACTCGTACTTTAGTGGCGTTTAAGCAAAAACGCAACCAAAGACTCGTACTTTTCATTTTTCCCCTTTTCATTTTTCCCCCTTCACCTATTTCCATAAACCCAAATCCTCTTGGTTTACTCTCTTCTTTGCGAATCAAATCCAGGGTTTTAGCTCTTTACCCATTTCCATCAACCCAAACCACAAAAACCAACGCCTTTTCTTTTCAAGTAAACGATGAAGAGAGCAAAATTTGACTCGTTAGTGTCGCTGAGTCGACTTAGGCTGGTTCAGTTCTTGATGGGTTTTTGTTCCTCTACCTTCTGTTCATAAGCTTCGAAATCCCGCTAGTTTTCAAAACTAATTCCGCGGGTTTCTATATTGACGCATTGCCCAGACCTTTGTTTCTCGAGAGAGAAGAGGACTTCACCGACAAATAGGCGTCTGCTCGGTGCTCCACAAAATAGTGCGACACGCCTTCGTTGTCGAAACTCTGGGACGACCTCCAGTCAGCTCAAAACAAATCCGATTCAGAATCCGACTAGCAAAATCAATTGAAAAACGAACTGAATCATGTACCGAATCAATTACCTTATTGGGGTCAAAGTTTGTGAACCGGGGTCGGGTCATGGTCATCCCCTGTGGGTTAACATTAGGGTCCCACATTACTTGTTATCGAATGCAGTGGGGATCTGCACTGAGGTGCGAAGGGTGGAAATCTAGGGCTGTTGTCTATATGCAGAGATTTTTACACAGGGATTTATTTGCAGGGATTACTTCCCATTACAGACGCGCATAAGAAGACTGCATATGAAAATTGTTCAATTATGTATTTATTTATTTATTTATACATGCGTTGCATTTTATCTTTATTTTAAAATTTTCTGACTACCGGAGGTTTTCCACGGAATGTGCTCTCAACCTGGTGTTGGGGGCAACCTACTACCATACCTCCCCTTACCTCATTGCATATAGGAATAGGGTTTTGTTGTTGTTGTTTGAATGTTACTAAGTAAATGGAGAATGTAGGTTGAAAAAATTCAATGAACTTGGTAATAATTGTCGGTGGTTCGTAATTTAGTAAAAAATCTACTTCCTAGTGGAAATGTAGAGCTTTTTATCGGAGTCCTTTCTGCTGGCAATCATTTTGCAGAGAGGATGGACGTGAGAGAGTCCTGGATACAGCATAACTTAATAAAGTCTTCAAAAGTAGTTGTTCGTTTTTTCGTAGCACTAGTAAAGGTAGATAAAGCAGGCATGAGTTAATTCCTTTGGAAAACTCCTTTTCTTGATATATTTACACCCTTTTTTCTTTTTAGAATCGAAGAAAGGATATACATGTGGAACTGAAGAAGGAAGCAGAATATTTTGGTGATATTCTTATAGTTCCTTGCATGGATAACTATGACCTAGTTGTACTTAAAATAGTTGCCATCTGTGAATATGGGGTGAGTCATCGAACGATACGATGTTGCTAACTTTTCCCGTTGTGGAAACTGTCATATGTGTATATATAATTAATTCAATATTGTTCTTTAGTTGTTAAAAGATCTACTTTTATATGCTATCTAATTGTTCACAGGTCCGTACAGTGGCTGCAAAATACATTATGAAGTGTGATGATGATACATTTGACCGGGTGGACCCTGTGATTAAGGAAGCAAAGAAGCTAACCAACTACAGTTGAAAGTGTGATTTAGACCATGCCTTTTCTGTTCAATTTCTTGATAGAGTACTCTTGTATATGATCTATGTAAGCTAACCAACTAGTTAGCAAATGCTTTATCTTGGTGATTATTTTTTCTATTATTATTTTATACGCATAGTAAGAATATTTAGATAGTTGGTAACTTGTGTGCAAAGGCATTAAGGTTTAATCATTGTTTTTTCCATTACCATGTACATTTTATTTTAAATTGTCAGCACTATGTGCAGAGGCATATATATGGGCACCAGGGAAAAATGTCCAAATTTTTTGCAGATGGTGGCAGTTTGGCTGTCAATCCTGCTTATGTGCAATCTTGGATGGATCTTTTATCACGAACACCTCGAGTGGCTACATTTCTTTCAAAGAATGACCCTTTTGTCATGGCATTAAAGAAGGTTTATCTTCTATTTCTTTTCTTGATCTTATTATGTTTATGTTTCTTTCTTGAAGACAATGATGTGCACTTTAAGAATAAGTTGGTTTTCCTTAGAATTGAACTAGTTTTTAGGAATACATGATATTTAAGATACGGGGAATGTTAAATGTCTTGGATAACTTATTTTCCAATTGGAAGATTGAATAAAGAAATACTTCAAGTGGAAAAAAAAAAGTCTTTTTCAAAATAAATTTTGAGTGTAGTGTGGTTGGTAGAAGGAAAAGTGGGTGGAAAGAAAATGAGTGGATGATCTTTTCCATCCTCGTGTATAAACAAATGATTTCAATTTGGAAGGAAAAGAGAAAATGTGAGGCAGATGCATGCTAGTTCATGATTATGTAATTTTCTAAGTCATAATTTATTTGATAATTATTTGATATATGGTTGAGTTTTAGTTTGTTGTGGTATGTTCTCAATTGCGAAATTAAATGTAATGCTTATGTTTAGCTGCAATTAACATTTGAAATTGATAATCCAGAAGTACGAAATGGATAAGAGTTTGATGGATTTGTCAAGGGTAAGCGATGAATATCGAAATGGAGTCGAAACTGAAGCAAGGGAAACAGAGAGAAAAGCAGCTTATCAGGAAAAAAATGTGAAGATTTTCAAAATCAACTTCAAGCTATGATGCAGATGATACGACAAAATCAACCCCAGAGTCCACCATCTTAGGTGTTATTATTGGTTATTATAGTTAACAATGTTGAACTACATTATATTTCATGTTAATGTAAACTTTGATTTATTATTATTGATTTCAAGTTTCTTATTATGGATTTCAAGTTTGTTGTTATAGATGTCAAGTTTATTGGATAATGCTACACGTTAAATATGGGTAACAAAAGAGTAGAAAACAACATTAGAAAAATTAGTTTTAATTCATGGCGTTTAAAAAAACCACTAAATACATAGTCAATACCGACGTTTTTGAAAAATGCCACTAAAGTTCTAAATCTTTGCAGCGTTTATACAGAAAAATGCCACTATATATGTAGTCAATAGAGGCATTTTATATTCACAAACACCACTATACGACAAAACATTTAGCGACGTTTTTTGGAACAAACGCCACTATATGTCAGAACATTTAACGACGTTTTTGGGATAAAACGCCACAAAAGAAAAGATAAATAGCGATATTTGTGAATGAAAAACGCCGCTACCTTTTGCGGCGTTTGTTTCAGCGGTGTGTTTTTTGCGCCACAAAAGTTTTTAATGGCGCTTAAAAACGCCCACTAAAAATTACTTTAGTACTTGGATGAAAATTATACTTTAAATATTTATTTGTAATATAAGCTAAAAAATAAATTATACACAATTTGAAGAAACGTTTTTATTACAAAATAATATTTTATATATCATTGGTGTAATTAATTTCAACTTCAGCTTAATTTAAAACTCTTGTATTCTACTTAATTACAATATTTAACCTAAAATGCAAAATTGAATTCAACATTAAAATGAATTTTGCAAGTGGGTGTAGTGGTTAAGCGGTGGGTGGATTTTTGGGTTGATTCCCACGTTTGTATCTAACGTTTTATTTCACACAAATAACACTTCAATCACGTTGCGACTATCACTTTGATATCTATTTATTCTATTTTATTTAATCATACAAGGATAACAACGAGTCGAATTAGATTAGGATTTCGATTAATCGGATTCAATCCGAAAAATACATCATCTTTACTCGAATTTGACTTGACCCAAATTTAAAGAGATTCCATTCGACTCGAAATTCAATTTGAATTTTAAGACATAAATTCTCATGTGACTCGATCAGACATATATCAAAGACAAAGATTAATTCTTTAATTTTTTTAGTGAATATCTTTTTATTTCCTACTATTAATTTCAGCCTTTGATTTTCCCTCATCCAACGATCCTAAAAATGTGTAAAAAAAAATCGTTTTACACTGTGTAATGGGATCCTAACTTAGGATCCACTTATACTTGTAATACTCTTAGAGTTTTACAATTTTTTAGAATCGTTGGATTGAGGGAAATCAAAGACCGAGATTAACTCATTATTTTTTCCAGTGAATATTTTCTCATTTTATACTGTTAATATCAACTTTTAATTTCTCTCATCAAATGATACTAAAAAAGTGTAAATTAAAAGAGTTTTACACAGTATAATTAGATCACACCCATATATACAGACTTACAATTTTATTCGGTAAAACATATATTTAGTTTAAAAAAATAAAATGAATATTATAACAATTATCCTTATCATCAAAAACCCAAACTAATATTATTATTATGAGTTAAGTTGGGTAAAAGATTTATCATCATAAACCCAAACTCAACTTCACCATTTATAACATTTAATTCAATTAACATTTGAATTTCTTTTTAATAATATTAACCTTATCAAATCATATTAAATCAAAACCCGTGAAATCCGAATTAAATTTCTAGCTCTAGATTCTTACTTCAGAAAATAAATGTGGAATGGCGAGCACGCCATGTCATTTTGCGTAATGGGATCTAGATGTATCATGGTGTATCGTGTTAGGCATTATGTTAAACAGAACAATTTGTGCAGTATCAAAATGAAAATAACATACAATTTTAAGGACCAAATGAACATTAAACCACAAATTGTACCTGAAAACAACACTACCTTCAAAACCTGGAACGTGGAAAATAAAGGTCAAGCAATGGACCATTGGTTGCAAGTTGTAAGTGGAGGAGCAACAAATGAAGATGGGCATGGGGTCCGCTCTCACTTCCTTCCAAACTTGTCTTTTTAATTTTTGTCTTACTTTTTTTGTTCCAGAAAAAAGTATCCCAACACTTCGATCTGATTCATCTGTCTGTCTATTTTAGTATAAAAAAATCGTTTCTTTTTATCCTTTTCTCCATCACCAAGAGAAAAAGAGTGAAGAAAAGATGATCCTTTGTCAGTTTCAAAGACCTCATCCATGGCTGTTGTCCCCGAGGCTCACTCAAACATCACCATCTTCTTCAACAAGGTACGTTTCATTGAAGTTGAAAATCTGGGTTTCATTGAATTTCTGGTAGTAATGCATTGGTACTGGTCTTATGATCTTTGAACACTATTTTTTTTTCAACCTGAAGTTTGTTTCTGTTAGTTTATTCAGTCATGCAAAGCTTGGTTCAGTTGGTTCATCTTCCAAGTTAGCTCAACTGGTTTAAATTTTGAATCTGAGGTTCTGCATCTGGTTTTTTCAATGTTGATGGACTCAAAGATTGGTATCGAATTTTCGGCATGATTGGATTCTATAGTAAATGTTGTTAAAGATTTGGTTCTTTTTTGGGTCATTTTATGAGTTTTTGATCTGTCTTGGACCAAGTTTGCTAAGTCTAAGCATTGGCATTATAAAAAACAAGTTCTGTGATGCTCAACTCTTTAGTTTCCTTGAAGCATTCATATCCAATTATCTGTCAGGACATGAATATGTCTAAAAAGAAAATTAATGAAAAAACTTAGAAAATTAAACATAGTTGTGTTGGGCACAAATAAAAAATTCACATACTACACTCGGATCGTTCCTTGGCAGAATTGGAATGATGTTATGGATGCCAAAGCACATATTTTAAAGTACATATACCTCCTTAGACAATGTATGATAGTTAGCCACCAAATATAAAACAAGTTCTATGATGATCGACCTCTTTAATTTTCATGAAGTACAAGTGACCACATGAATCTGGATATGACTCTTAAAGGACCCTCCATATACATGGAAAATTTTATAAAATTAAATAAATCTATGTTGGACACATATCTGTATTCGGCACTCACATTTGGGTCCGAGTAACAGCGAGTTTTTTCACTAATCAGTATTTTTATGTTGCACTTTGTAAAGCTAAAAAACTGGTTAACTAGTTCTTGTAGCATAGTGATGCCAATGCCAGTGCCAGTTCTGCAAGTAGCGATATGTGGTTAATCCGTTTCAAATTAGACAAAATTGGTTTTTCTCCCTTGTCTTTTTGCTCAAGCAATCAAATAATTATATATGAAGAATTGCCTTCTCTTTTCCATTTATGTAGTTGCCTTCTGAATTTTGTTGTAGAATACACGGCATTAGAGGCTCGAAGAATATGATATTTTTCCGGAGATCAGAACTGTGCTTCTTTTGGTTGCACAATTCTTCATCTAACATGTGTAACTTTATGCACAACAGAGGTGAGTCCGAGTCATCTGCATTATGAGCTTGTCAAATCGAAACCTATATCTGGTCTTTATCTTTTGATGTTAAATGTGGAAATCTTACTGTTTTGATCACTGCTGAATTTTTCCATCACATGGGTAATATTTAAATTTGGAATTTCAGATTGCAACGTAAAATGAGTCTGCATAACATAACTACTCATTGTTGTCCGTTTGTAATTGTGCAAGCTAATCCTAGCTCGTCAATGTTCGATAAGCTTGTGTTTTACGGGCTTGTAGTTACACTTCCAGTTGTATTTTCTAGTTTATATGTATGCGGATTGGCTAAGTGTTTGATTCCTTCAAAAAGTTGGTTTTTTGAAAATAGTTTTTTCATATTTCATAAGAATTATGATACCTTTCCTTCTACAGGAAAACAGAAAGTTACTTGTCCAAAAGCAACTGATAAGTCGGACAGCATTTCAAATAACCCAAATGTCAAATTCTTTAGGATGGACCTACAGAATTGTTCTCGGGTAAGGCTTAAATCTCTGATTTTGGAAGTGTTAATAATATGCTTTTTTGATGTTATAAACGCGTACACTTTTTCAATTTGTTACATGGACCTAGATTTATTATATATTTTACTTTACTTTTTCTGTTCTTTGAACATCTTCTATATTGATAGTTTTCATTTCGAATGATGTATGCATCTGCCCTTTGATTGTTTGCCTGTTAGTGACTGTAATATGCAGTCACAACATATATATCATTATTACTGCAAGAGAGATTAACGGCATAGATTTTAAAATACGGAAACCATTGCATTTATCGGGTTGGTTACCTAGTTTGTTTCTGTATCATGTCTTGTACTGTTTCTTAGATGAAAGTGGTTAGGCAGAGCTCATGACACATCGTTATTGATATGAGAGAGACTAAGACGGATCTTAAAATATCAGCTACGATTGCATTTATTGGGTTTGTTTTTAAACTGCATCTTATATTGGCTTTTAGAAGAAAGTAGTTGGAAGGAGGTTCAGATAAAAATCTCATGTAGTCTGCTTCATTCTATACTGAAATGATGCCAATGCCTTGCGGAAGCTTCATTTTTACAGCGGCGCCTTTCCTCTTGTGAAGAAATATTTTTCTGAAGTTTGTGCTTTCTACCTCAGTTTGGTTGCTGGATCTCTTATCTCCCATGAAGGATGTTTTAACCATGGTGTTACTGGAGATTTAACCTAGCTCAGATGCCATAAAAGATTTAAGAGACTATATTCAATAAACTGTTCTGTTCTTTTATTAGGTAAAGAAATGAGCTTAAATAGAAAAAATGACGAGCAAATGACGAGTTGAAGCAACATTTACATAGGTGAAAGCACAAAAAGGAATAGGAATAATTTGTTGTTGGGATATGGATATAAATGAGAGAGAACCAAAGGCAGTGAGATTATGCATGTCAGAGAAGATCTTTTTTCTTCATTAGAAAAAGAATATCAAAGTCTGTTGACTTGCAATATTCTGGACTTCATCCAATATTGCAGTCTTGCTACTTAACGAATTATTTGGTGACTTGAGAAATTAACTTTTTCATTTGGCTTCTGTCATTGTAGTGATATGCAGAACAGTTTACGGAATATGAATATTGAAGTGAATTGACACTGTTTATTACAATATTCCATGCATCTTACAATCATTCAATACTGTTACTGAATTATTCGGTCATGGTCAAAATTACCTTGGTTCATTTGGCTTTTGTCATTGTAGTGGAAGCTTGCACTTGTGACTGTTCATTTACGGAATTACTTACGGAAAATTAACATTTATGTCCGTTGACATTGTTGATCACAATCTTCCATACTTCTTAATGTAATCTTGCTCTTTAAGTAATTATTCAATGACAGTCAAAATTAGCTTTTTCTTGCGGCTGCTGTATTTGTAGTGGAAGCTAGCCACTGTTCATTTACTGAATACTTTTAGGTAAAATGAATAATGAGAAGTCTTTTGTCATCGTTTATTACAATGATCCAGACTTCTTATATTGCAATCTTGCTATTTACAGAATTATTTGGTGATGGTTGAAATTAGTTCTAATTGGATGCTGTCACTTTAGTAGAAGGTTGCACTAATAACAATTTGCACCTCAAATTTTTATCCGCTTATTGACTGGACGTAAAGAATGAGATGTCCACTCTTTGTGCCTGTTATTTCTACATTACCGTTAGTTTGTCTTGTAGAAACTTGCTGCTTTCTCATTCGGTTTCAATTCTTGGATGGTATAACCATGAGTTTACAGCTTTTAATGGCCTAATTTCTTGATTTTCATCACTGCTGCTTCAGGGTCATCAAGCTAAACGGATCAGTGGGGTTTTCTCGGCATTTTTCTTACTAAGACTAATGCAGTTAGATTTTGCCAACACATTAATAAAGATGGTCCAAGACTTATTTCCTCATCTACTTCGAACTTTGGCGGCTAGAAGCTTACCCCTTGCCTGCATATCTAATTCCTTGAACAAACCAACACCTCTTAGCTTGAACGTCGCCTTGCCTTCGATTCAAGATATTAAATGGAACTTCTCTCGGTTAAACTATTTATTTAACGTTCAACTGGAGAAAAATATTGCGACGTAAGTTAAACTTATAATCCTAGATCTTTTTCGGGTTTGAGTTATATTCTTGGTGCTTTCTGTTGTTTCTAACAGTCAATTTCTATGATAAAAATCTGATGGTGTGCCAAACTGTCTGTTCAACAATTAGAATGATCGTTTTATGCTACATTATTTGGACATAGGTCATGTGTAGGTGGCCCTCCTTAGCTATTACTTCAATTCAGGTGTGATTGATGGACACAGACACGTGTTTGAGACGCATATGTTCCACTTTTTCAACACTGGGGACATTGTGTTATGTGACACAGTAACGATTTTCCTCGAACCTGTCAATTTAAGCTTTCTGTATGATGTTTGGTTATTAATTATAACTGAATAGTAACAAATGGAGTATGTTACGAAGCTGATATTGACTGAATAGTAATAAATTATGTGAAGCTTCCAATCTTGAACTTGGATAGATATGCATCCAACACTGATATATTCAATTTTATATGTTTTGCATGTATTTGGAGAGTTTTTAGAGGGTTATATTCATCCATGTCTGGAGATGTATCCGACATGGATGTTGGACTTGGGCACTTCAAGAAATATGAAGAATAGAAACAACATAGCTTTACTTCCCGTCTTGATCTGTATGGACTTACAGTTTTGAATTTATGTTTTAAGATTGACTGATTCACTTATTTCTTACATTTTGCAGGTTTCTTGTGGCTCTCCTTCTAGCATGCTTCTCATTTGTTATTATCGGTGGTTTGCTCTTCTTCAAGTTTAGGTAATGTACAATTAGTCTTGATTATTCGAATATTATTTTATATATAACTGTAGCTTGTTAGCTGTAAATGCCATCTTATATAGGAGAAATAGCTATCATGGAAAAATAGCTATAGTGGTAGTTTTGTTTGCTAATTCAGTAGTTAATGCCTTGAATAACACAGGAAAACTACACGATCTCTTGAGGATTGCTGCTGGGAGGCGTGGGCATGCCTGATTTCATCGTCAACCCATTTAAAAGTATGTGGTCAGTTATGTATCTAATCATTTGGTTGCTTTAAGATATGATCGTATTTGTATTGCTTGTTTGATTAAAAATCGAATTTGGAAAACTTATTAATGTGTTGAGCTGCAGCAAGCAACACGTGTAGAACGTGTTATTGGCTTCGTTCTTGCTTTATGGGGCATATTATTTTACTCTCGGTTATTAAGCACAATGACAGAACAATTCCGAGTAAGCATTTTTTTCTATAGCAAATTTTACCCTCTCTTTCTTTCCAATGCTCATTATTTATTTGAGCTACCTTCGATACATGTGACTTTTGATTTCGGGTGACAGAACAACATGCAAAAAATCCGGGAAGGTGCACAAATGCAAGTTTTAGAGAGTGATCATATCATCATTTGTGGTGCAAATAGTCGCCTTGCTTTCATACTACAGCAGCTAAATAATTATCATGAATTTTCCGTTCGTTTAGGCACTGCTTCAGCCAGGTAAACTGTTATGCTGCCACCTATGTAACTTGGACTCAAGTGCGAATGTCATATACAATATATGTTCAGAAAGAGTATTTTAATTTTTTTATAAAATTTTCTTTATATTTGAAGAGCCCTTGGAAGATTATTTCTGATACTCTTTAATAGAAATGAAGAGCCGAAGCAACGTAGGCTACAACTTTTGTTTTCTGTTTATTTTTCTTGCATGCGTAATTATCAGTTTCTACCTGTATTTTGCTCTCGTAGGAGGCAAAGAATTCTTCTCATGTCTGATCTTCCGAGGAAGCAAATAGACAAGCTGGCAGAAAACATTGCCAAGGATCTTAAACATATTGATATCCTTTCAAAGAGGTATACGAAAAATGTCCACTTTCCCCCGTAATTTTCAAATTCCATCTAGATTTCCCTCTTATAGACATTTCCAACGCCAGATAAATGAAAGTAATAGCTAAATTGCTTGGTCTCTCGGTTGAGTCCCGCTCACTAGTATGTGTTTGACACTGCTATATTCATTTTCTTTCTCATGATTTTCATGTATTTGGAGAGTTCTTGAAAGATCCTAGCCCCATACTTTTCTTCGGATATGTGTCAAATACTTTTATATCTTCATAAAAATCTCGGTTAGTTTAGAATCCCTGTTTGTGATAGACCATCCCTTGATAATTGTTTTTGATATACTTTAGTAGAGAATTCTTATGTTGAAAATTACGGGCATCTGGAGAAATGTGCAGAAACTATTAGGACCTATCTTTTTTTATCGAGCTGAAGATATAACCTGAATTGAGTAAAATGTGAGATTAAATAACATCGGTTCTACTTGTGCAGTTGTAGCCTTACTTTGACAAAATCATTTGAAAGAGCAGCAGCTAATAAGGCGCGTGCCATTATCATTCTTGCAACAAAAGAACATCAGTAAGACTTCTATCACTTTAAATGACATTTTTTTATGATCCTCTCTTGTGAGTGTTACATTATATAATTTTCTAGTGGCGGATCTCGATGCAACACGGGTTTGGAGAACTGTGATAATAGCAGTAGCAGAAGCTATTAGGCTCTGCTATGCTCTGTTCTGGCCAGTTCTTTTGCATGTACATTTTTAACTAGTGCGTAATATAAGATTTTCTTCAGGGAAATTTAGTGACCGCAATTACTTAACTGATTAGGTTCGGAGTTGATACAGATGCATTTCTCTCTGTACTGGCGCTTCAACCTATTCCCAAGATGGAAACCATCCCCACAATTGTCGAGGTATGCATTGGCATAACTGTAGGATCAAAATATTATTTTTCTAAGATCAATCACGTTTAATTTGCCATTCTTAATGCAGGTTTCGAATTCCAATACATGTGAGCTCTTGAAGTCAATCTCCGGACTGAAAGTGGAGCCGGTGGAAACTGTCGCTTCTAAACTATTTGTTCAATGTTCTCGGCAAAAGGGGCTAATAAAGATCTACAGGCACTTGCTTAATTATCGAAGTGTGATATGTGTTCTTTTTGACAACTTTTATTTTCCTGATGACGGAAAGATAATGGAAAAGTTTTTTTTAATGTATTTAGAGGGTCATATCCACACATCCATGTTCAAATATGTGTCGAATACAGATACTTAAATAACAATTAAATGTCAAAGGAACACAAGCTCGGCCTACAAAATTTCACTGGTCTAGTAGTTTCTTTCCATAGGGTACTTTTTTACTGGTAAAAGAAATTCTATGGGTTCATTTCTTGTCTATATCACTATGTTGTAGGTTTCCACTCGAAGACTAATTATATCATGTTATTGCAGAAAATGTGTTCAGTCTTCACCATTTTCCAAGTCTAACTGGGTTGACGTACATGCAAATACGACAAGGTTTCCAAGAGGTATTGTTTTGTGTTAAAACTTGGTATTTGTCGGTATGAAGAACTTCCGTGCTCATTTCTTATGTTGGTTTCTTTTCAGGCTGTTGTTTGCGGTGTTTATCGGAATGGTAAGATATATTTCCACCCCAGAGATGATGAAATTCTACAGCAAACTGACAAAGTAAGTAGACTATACTACTTTTCGAACGTTATGTTCATATATATAAACTTTTAAGTTCGGCATCTATGTCCGAGGCTTATCTAGACATGGTTATGGGAATATGATCTTCCAAAAACCCTTCAAATACTTCAAAATCTTGAAAATAGAAAATTGAACATACCCGTGCCCGACACACATCCAAGCCCGAGTAACGTATCTTACTATCTTGTGACCATTTCTTAACATGGAGTAGTATGAGCACTTGCCAAGATTTCGTTTGAACATAACCGCTTTGCAGAAATTTCAACTCTATGCGTCCTTCCATGGTCGTATCTGCATACTTCTTAACGTATATTTCTTTTATTCGTGTAGATATTGTTAATTGCCCCTATTAACATTACAACAAAACAACTTACATTGTCCGATGTCATAAAAGATGAAACCGACATGCCAAAAGATTTGGAGGTTCCTGAAAACAATGTAGAGAATGCTTTAGAATTGAGAAAAGAGCGGATGTTAAATATTATGAAACGTACCAAAAGACGAGCAGCAAAGGTATGTTTTCCGAAGAGATAAGTTCCTCAAGGGATAGCATCTATTGAATGCCCAGATGTCAGCTTATATGTTCTTTTGATTTTGAAGTAGGCATTGGACCAAAGTCTAGGGCCTAAAGAATGCGTACTTTTGCTCGGGTGGCGGCCGGATGTTGTACAAATGATTGAAGAGTACGATAATTATCTTGGACCTGGAAGCTTGTTGGTATACTTTTTTCTTCTTTTCATATTTCAATCAGAACCATTAAGTTGAATGCAAAACTTCAAGTCCTGCATTTGGTTGCATGTCAGACTTATTGTGTGTGTTTTTTCTCTCCGACATGTTATTTCTTTGACCTTAACACTTGATGAAAAACAACTCCGATACATTTTCTTCGATTGAGATTTAGATTATTCGTGTGCTATCCGCATTATACAGGAAATATTATCGGATGTACCATTAGACGAAAGGAAGAAGGCAAGCTTCATGTCCAGTCAAAGAACGTTAGAACATGTCCAGGTTAACCATAGGGTACGTTCTCTGTTTCTTTCGATCATGTTGAACTTCTCGATCCTCTGTTATCTGGTTTGTTAAGGAAAGTGATGCAAGGCTTATTCCTTTCGAATTGCAGATCGGGAACTCGATGAATTATGATACCTTACAGGAAACCATAATGAATATACAAAACTCCTTCAAGAGTGGGGAACATATTCCTTTTTCTATTGTTGTGATTTCAGATAGAGAATGGCTTCTCGGAGGTGATAATCAATGTTATTCCGACTCTTCTTTTTTCTTAAAGTGCCCGTGTTTGATGTATATCTAACCCTGGGTGTGGGGTCATGATCATAGAAAAAGTCTTAAATGTATGTGTCAAACATATAACCATGTCTTACACTCGCACCCTAGTCCAAGTAACATAAGTAATAATAATTGATAAAGAATGTTTCTATTGGTAAATTAATCTTCGGAGTTCGGATAACTATTTTCCTTTCAGATCCATCAAGGGCAGACAAGCAATCTGCATACGCGCTTCTTCTTGCAGAAAACATTTGCAACAAACATGGAGTGACGGTGCGCTCGGTTCAATATAATGATAATGCCATTGTCTTGAATCTTTTTAATTCGAAGTTAAGCTCGAGTATATCACTATATTGTTCTGCAGGTGCAAAATCTAGTCGCAGAGATTGGCGACTCGAAATTGGGCAAACAAGTAACATATTTCAGCAATTTCTAGAATTTCTTATAATGCAATTATTGATGTTCTAAGGTTCCTCATGTGTCTTGAAATCTGCCCAAACCCTGCAGATTACAAAGCTCAAGCCGAGCTTGACGTATATTGCATCAGAGGAAGTGATGAGTCTCGTAACGGCTCAAGGTCTCAAAATTATATTTCTATATAAGTATTTTATATTGTTCCAATAATTCGATATGCCATATGGGGAAATAATCCTTTTTTTTTCTGGATTGCAGTAGCCGAACACAGTGAACTAAATGAGGTTTGGAAAGACATTTTGAATGCCGAAGGTGACGAAATATACGTGAAGGTAAAGGCAATTAATTTTATGCAGTACTTCCATTATTTACCTTACTGAAAGGGAAGAGGAGGTGTTTAAACTACGAACTTGTTATGAATGTCGAGTTCGGATACATGTTCAATACGTCGTGTTTGAGACCTGTTATTGACAAATATTTGATATTGGTGTGAAAGTATGATCTTCCATGTGCATGAAATGACTTTTAAAAAAATGAACATACTCGAGATGGAGTTCGGGTATTATGATTTTAGGCAATGAACATCTTACTTGTCCGTAAAGGCATCAGAACCATGTTACCTTTAAGGCAAGTTACTTGGTGTTCTCATTTTTTTAAAAAAGTACTTCTGTTTGAGGTTCTTACTTGATACATATGGAAAGACTTTAGAAAAAAAAAAGTAAGTATAGTCGTTTCGGCAACGGGATAACTCATCTTATTGTCGGTATAGTGATCGAATCACCTTTTTTTGTGTGGTAATCTGGCATTTCTTGCCGTTTATTCCGACGAGGAAGTCTCCATTTACAACTAAACCATGTTTCATGACAGGATATTAGCTTCTACATGAAAGAAGGGGAGAACCCGTCGTTCGTGGAGCTATCGGAAAGGGCATGTTTGCGACAAGAAGTTGCCATCGGATATATAAAAGACAACAAGAAGGTATGTTACAAGTATATGCTTAAAATTTTTGAACTTTTTTCGTATATTTAGAGAATCGGACCTCCATATTTGAAGATATGGTTAAAGGTACCTAATCCATTGTTTGTTACAAGTGCAGGTTATTAACCCCTCTCTTAAATCCAAACCTCTGTCCTTAGAAATGACGGATTCATTGATTGTCATATCAGAGTTTGAAGGAGAGCAACCTGTTGTTGTTTAAAATCTATTGTCTTGTTCTTGTTCAAGATTCATTGATCCATGTATTTCCGGTCATTTTCATACTTTCATTGGCCTCGTGGCTTATGAATTTATAAGCGGAAAAATAATTAAATCGATATTAATGTACAATATATAGATTTAACTGGTTTATTGGCTACATTAACGGATGAGAATAATAATAATTCACTATAAATACAGAAACCACAAAGAGTATAAATAAATGATATCTTATATATCCTAAGAGCTTAGTATATATACTAACATCTCTTGAATCCTAAAATACTCTCTCAATATCCATTCAAAACTATAAATACGGATCAAGACAATTTTTAGGCCTAGTCAAAGTACATACGTATATGAAGTGTTGAAAATGTTCGACATAAAAAATCGTAAAATGATTTTCAAAATTTATTTTTTAAAAATATTATTCGTTTTTGATGGAATCAAAACGAATAATATTTTAGGCCTAGTCAAAATATATACATATATAAAGTGTTGAAAATGTTCGACATAGAAAATCGTAAAATGATTTTCAAAAATTATTTTTTAAAATTATTATCGTTTTGAAGGAATCATTTTTCAAAATTTATTTTTAATGAAATAAAAGGACCCTAAGTGTTAAAATTGTTTATCTACGTCTAGGTGGATTATAGGTAGGAGTAAGTATTCGATCGAGTTGAGTCAAAAAAAATTTGAATTATCCAAGTTGATGAGTCTTATTTTATAATTCAAACTTCATTTGAAATTTTTTGTGTTGAGCTGAGTTTATGAAATTCAAGTCGAGTTGTTCAAGTTTCAGCTTAAATTTGATTGTAAATATTTACAATGTTATGGTACTATTTGATTTTTAATTTAAATGGTTTTTTATAACCATATATGATATACATATATGCTTATTAATATATTTTTCATATATGATGTACTATATTATGCAAAGTAGAGGGACTCAACTTGAACATAAAAATCAATCCATTAATTACTAAAATTTGAGTTATTTGAATTATATTTTATAACTCAACTCAATTTAATATTTTTTCGAGTCAAATTTATAAAAGGGTAAACTATATGAATGGTCACATTTATTTTCAGTCTGATCAACTTTGGTCATTGGTTCAAAAAAATTAAATGCATTTGGTCCCTTACATTATCTATTTTAGTCCTTGGTCATTAACTTCCGTTAACTCGTTAACGAAAACTTGAGTTGACAATTAAAATATTAAAAACAAATTCACGTGTCTCATCCTCCTCCTCCTCCTCTATGCATTGCTCATACTGTTTTACTCATATTATACTCTTCTCCTTTATCTCCTTACGATGTGAACACATAACTCTTCCCTTAAACATCGCTTCTCCTACGAGAACCAAGAAACCCAACTTTCTCGATATCAATGGTGGATCCAAAAAAAAAGTTTATATATATATATATATATATATATTACTTTTAATATAAATCCTTACAACAAAAAATACAGCTAAAAATAAATTTTACAGTTGTTCCCTTCTAGGTCTCATGTTTTAATATCGTTATATTATATTTCTCAATAAAAGTAACTAAACAATCATTAAGTCATTCATCTCCCATAAGAGTGTGCAGTCGATTCTTTATAAAGCGCATCGTTGAGAATGTTCTTTCTGTTGTTGCAGTTGCAACAAGTAAAATCAATGCTAACTTCAAAAGTAAATAAACAAGTGGGTACACAAGATGTTTCATTGTGTAGACCATCTTTTTAGATGAATCAGAAAGTCCTTTTAGATCACAAAATCTTTCATCTGAACGAACATCGATAATATAATTTTCAAGTTGATAGTCAAGCAATATAAGATCTCCAGTAGAAAATTCACAAGGATAAAATTGAGTACGACGAATCAACTTTTTCTTATCAAAAGACAGATACAAGTCTCATGGATTCAAACAAGCCACACAAAGAAATAACTTTGTACTTGTCTAAGAAAAACGATTATTAAGCTCTTGAAGTTGTCTATCAATCATCTGATAAAATAATTTAACTTGAAAATAATGCAAATTTGAAACTTCACAAGGTTTTCTCCTAGACCTCCCTAGAACAACAATTACATTTTCCATCTTTGGAACCTCAATGTTATTCTTTTCAATAAAAAAAACTTGTTCAGGTAAAGATTGTCATCCCACATCTCTCATCATTTGTAATTGTTGCTTGGACACACTAAGTAATTGTGTAGCATTAAAAATGTCTTTATCACTCTGTTGCAGTGCTTGAGATAATTGACTTGTAACTCCCAGTATATTTTCATCAAGTGTAAATTAAACACAAACTCGAAAGATTGTAAAGAACTCAATATCATACAAGCTTCAACTCTTTCCTCTGAAGGTGTTCTATCTTCCTCAATAATTTCAAGCACATCCATCACAGAAGAAAACATAGTAATCAAGCTGACAACGGCCTTATAATGTGAACCCGACGAGTATCTCCAACTCTCTTTATATCAATTTCTTGATTTAGTTCACGACCACTGAAGATTTCACCATTTTGTAAAGCTTCTCTTACCTTATTACTTGGCTAGATTGAAGAATTTCTTTTCTCTTAGATGAAGCACCAACCATATTAACCACACTAGCAACCTAATTAAAATGAAATGCAACTTTAACTTGCATTTTAGCAACAAAAAGAAGTGTTAATTGAAGCTGATGTATAAAGTAATAAACATAAAAAACACATTCATTATCTCTTAGAATCAAAATTTTAAGCCCATTAAATTCTCCTTGCATGTTACTTGCCCCGTCATAACCTTCTCTTCTTATTCTTGAAAAACATAATCATGAGTTGCAAACACACCTTTGAGAGAATTCAGAAGTGAAGCAACAACAGTATTAGAAACATGAACAAGACATAAAATCGTTCGACAACTCTTCCTTTGTTATCTACGTAGCTTAGAAGGATAATCATTTTCTCTTTAACAGATATGTCACGAGACTCATCAACCAAAGTAGTAAAAAATTCATTTCCAAGCTCATCAATAATTGCACAAGTAATCTCACTAGTAGTTGCACTAACAATATCTTTTTGTATAATCGGTGGTACTAGCTTAAGATTGCCACAAGTATTTTGAAAACCTTTATTAACAATCTCATTATGAGAAGCACGAAATCACAAGAACTCTAGAAAGTTACCTTGATTACAAGAATCATCAGACTCATCATGTCTGCAAAAAAGTCAATCTTTTTCGTAAAAGGAATTGAATGCAATCAATTGTAGACGTAAGATGAGTTTGATATTCTTGTTTGGCTTGATTAGATTGCTTTGTAATGACAACTTCAATTTGTTATTTCTGATTCAGTAGAGCTTCGCATTTTCTTAAAGTTACATTGTGAGCTCTATTAGGACCTTCAACATGAAGTTGCAATATGCTCTTTTCTTTTCAATTCTTAAATCCATCAACAACAAATGTATCACCTCCCCTTGCTCTACTTTAGATTCAGGTCTCATAAGGTAATATTGTAAACAAAATACTTCATCTTTAGATACACTGTATTCCAACCAACTTTTATGCTCTTCGAACCACTTGGGATTGAAACTTCAAAATTTATCATTATACTTGTTCTTAGAAAACTTGTGTTCTTTAGGTTGGCAAGGACCTTTCAACAAATAGGCCCTTCTAATTTCTTCATGATCATTAGGATGATATTCTATAATCTTTTATCTTTTTCTAGGATCTCCTTGAAGATTTTTCAAGTCAACTTCTAAAATTTTTTTTTTGTCGAACATGAATCATATGTTGATGTCTTCCTTTTAAAATATTTTTCCATACCTAAATAAAAAAAGAATTAATTAAATTATAACATAAAAAAGGAAAATAGAATATAAAATAATAATGACTTTTATTTATTAGTTTATATTTTCATGATTTTCATTCCTATTAGTGAATAAAATTACTGTTTTTGTGTGGTATTAATAGTATTTCCATATTTTTATCTTCATGTTTGGCATAAAAATATTTAATTTGAAATAATTTTATTTATTAGAGTAATATATATTTCCATGATTTCCATCTCTATTACATTTAGCTCAATTGCAAATTGCATACACGTTTGTAAATTATAATTTTCTCTATATAATCAACAAATTGCAAACAGCTAAGACTCATTTATTTCTTTCCATATCATTTATTTCTTTTTATAGCTAAGACTCGTTAGTTTTCAACCCACTGCAATGGTGGTGTTAATATTAGTTCCATGATTCCACCTTCATATTTGGTATTATTATGTTAAATTTAATCAATAATTAAAGTGTATATTTTTAAATAGTAACCAATTAATATGGTATTTAATTTAAAGTATATTAAAAGAAAGGATCAATTTTTAATTCCTCTAAGTTAAATATGGACATAATTAGAAGAATCAAGGATTACAAGGTTCTTTCCTCAAAAAAAATTACAAGGTTCAATTATTAGTAATTTTTGTGAGTTGAGGACCTAATTGAAAGGATTCAAAAAGTGTCATGGCCTCGAAGATAGTTTTCCCTTAAATAAGCAAAAAGGAGGATCTAAAGAAACTTATTGGTCGGATCGGGGTAACTATTTAGTTTAAAAATTGACCTAAATTTTATTTTTTAGGCCATTTAGTTTTCTCAACAGTCTTCTTCACTCTCTAAATCCTCTGAAGTTTCTAACCATGGTTGCATGATCAGTCGTGACGGTCGTCTTTCGTCGGCACTATTTTCTGCCGTCGACCACTACTGGCGACGGTTGAAAAACTCAAACAATATTTTTCTTCGTTTTTTCGAATTACAACTGAATCTGAAATTTGTTTTTCAAAAAAATATATAGAATTGCATAGATCTAATTTTAAAAACCACGGGTGTTACCAGTAAAAGCTCGAAGATCCGCCGTCTGATCGAGATGGTCTCGATGTCTCCTTGCCTACTCGCCATCGTTGTGTTGCTCACCGTACGAATTCGCAGTGTTTACCGAAAAATCTATTAAAAAAAAGTTTTGGCCATTCAACTCTTTGCCTCTTTCTTTTAAATTTACCATTTTTCTTAGTTTCTAGTATTAAAGTTAATTTCTTTTCTTTTTGCAGATTTTTGGTCTCCATACTTCAAATGATGACTTAGTTCAGTAATTTTTTCTGTGCGGATGTCTTGTTGTAGGTGAGGGGTGTTTGGGTTTCAGAAATGAAAATGAGAGATAGTGATATTGGTGGATTTTGGGGTGGGTTGACCCGATTTAGAATATAAATTTTCAGGTTAATCTAATTAAAAATAAAATTGTCCGTTCAGTTCAGTTAGTAGAGCGCAAGGCTCTTAACCTTGTGGTCGTGAGGTCGAGTCTTACGGAGGGCAATTCATAATTCTGATTGTCAGAGGTCTCCCACGGAAGCTGCTCTCAACCTGACGTTAGGGGAGTCTACTATCATACCTCTCCTTTATCCCATTATATATGAAAATAGGGTCAGCTAATTTGATTGAAAAAAATATTGGGTCTGGATGTAGAGAGAATTTGTGTCTCAACAATTTAGATTTTAATTTTTCATTTACTCGAGTTTGATGAATAAATTTTTGGACTTAGAAAATAGTTTACAATGGGTATTTGGTGGGCACAAAATAATTCAGGATGGACATAAATTAATTTTAGGGTGGGCACATGTTAAAAATATATATATATCTAACAAACTAAATTTCAAGCTTTGGGTGGGCATGTGCCCAATCTGACCCATGTATACATCTACCACTGCTCATTATCCCCTCTCTCGCTAACAACCATAGCACCATCACAACGCTTCGATGCCATGTTCTCAGCAAAAAAGTTACATGTATGAAATGACTCGTAACATCCATTTTTCACCATTCTAAAAGAAAAAGATTGAAACCTAGTATTGCCAAAGTAAGGACCATCTCAAATTGTGGTGGGCGAGCAAAATTTGTCGTTGTTGTGTTTCTTCTTATTGACTTCCAAATAAAGTCACTGAAAAAAAAGACGACCGCGACGAAAGACTTGGACTTTCCCGGTTCCTCTTCCCGCTAAAATAAGATCGAGGCCGAGGCACATAACGGTGGAGTTAACGTTCCTGATCTTTCCGATGACACCATGTGTGCATGTGGAGATGAAAACAATGGTAACCTTGATGGTTCTTTCTTTGCTTCAAATCCCATTGTTTGGTTTTAAGAGTGTTAACTAAATGTTTAGGGTAAACTACACGATACCAGTATGATCTCAGTCAAGTTTGTCATCAATTAATATAGAGGTTGTTTTGGGTAAGTGGTATTAGAGCTAAAGCTCATGCATAATATACTGTTATATTGCAGGGAACACTTCTAAACTTGTTGCGTAATTATCTCCATTCTGATCGAAAATAATAAAATTTTTGGGAGAAACATTGATGAGTTGTTAGTGAAAGAATAAGAAGGAGAAGAAGAAGACACATGGATTTTTTTTAATTTTTAATTACAACGTAACACTTTCGTTAAATGGTTGATGAGAGTTAACGACTGAAAGACTTAAACCGAATAGACCAATAACATAAGAAACGAAACATACTTAATTTTGAACCGATAACCAAAGTTGATCAGGCCAAAAATAAAGAGAATTATACGTATAGTTTACCCTTTATAAAATTATGAATCAAATTGAAAATTTCAGAATTTTTTAGTCTAGTCTTGTTCACCCCAAATTAAAGGCAGCTAGAAAAATGTATCCGTTAAAGTTTAAAAAATCTCGATAACTCAGTAATCCGTTTATAATTTTTTAAAGTTCAATACCCAAAATGTAAATTTATCAATAACTGGGTGACCCTTAATGTATTAGCAAACAATTATATTTAAAAAAACAAGGAAAAGGAAAACCTCAAGATCGTCAATCGTCATCCTCTAGCGGTAGTAACAAAAATTGGAAAAAAAGAAAGAAAAAAAAGATAAGAGAAGAAGAAGATGGCCCATGGTGGCTTAGGTAAGCGGCGCGTGGTGGAGGGGAAGCGCTTAGGAAGGAGATCAAAAGGACCTGGTGTAGACAAAAAGCTAAAGCCGAAAGCCGTCTCTATTAAGAACCTGATACGCTCCATTGAACGCATGCTGCGAAAGGTATTCTTCAACCTTCATCTCAGTAAAAAAAAATTCATTTAGGGTTTTTAAGTTGTACAATGAATACTCTGAATTGCATTCATTTAAGGAGCTTACTCCTGAAGTTAGAGAAGCTCAAGAAAAGAAATTAGACGGGCTTAAGAAGCAACAAGAAATCCATGCTCGACTCGCTGTGGAACGAAAGATATTCTTGAGGGAACGAAAGATATTCTTGAGGGATCGAAAGATTAAGTTTTTTGGTAAATTCAAATAATTATCATTATCTGTTCTTATTTTCTATCATTATTTGTGTAATTTGGAATGAATAATTCATTTATAGTTTACTTGAATTGTTATTGAAGAAAGAAGAAAGATTGAAAGGCGGATAAGGCGGTTGGAGAAGCAGCAACGGACTATATCTGGTCAGGCACAAGACATGGAGATTGCTGAACAGCTTTCTAAATTGAAAGAGGATCTTGAATATGTTAGGGTAAAGCTTGTAGCTGATGTAGTTCTTTTTGAATTTGCATTCTTGTTGATTAACATTAGATGATAAGACTGTACTATGTTTCTCGAAATTTTATTTTTTGCTTAACCACTGGTGTCCAACACCTAAATCCAACATAAATTCAGACCTGAGTATTGGGTTATGGTCCTCCCAAGCTGGGGTAACATGAGGCTTTTGTTATTTAATCGACTAATTCATCATATATGCTAAATCATGAAAGGCTGATGATGTTTAGTATTTTGTATTTGAAATACAGTTTTTCCCCAAGACTGAGAAATATATATCATTATTTACGGGAGGTGATGATTCAGAAATCATTGATAGGAGAAATAGATTGCGGAAGCAGATAAAATCCAACTTAGTTGCTGCTGCTGCCAGTGGGAGAGACTTGGAAGGTACATTCTTTCTTCGCCATGGCAACATAATGTTGTATGAAGTGATTTATTTTACTTGATTGCATGATATAATGTAACTAGCTCTTTTAGAATAAAAGCGTTATTGTATCAATTGTGCCGAGACTCATATTTTGGAAAGAAAACTCTTCTCTGTGAATTTTGCGTAGTAATGGAACTTTGTTGAATCTTTTTTAGTGTGTTTTTAGCTCAAAACTATGTATTAAGTTATGGATGCAGCACATATTCTCGTAATTTATGTTGTTTTACCTGCTTAAGTTGTTCTTATCAACTTATTTTGTCATAATCAAAAGGATGATGTCTTCTGTTTGGATTTCGCTTAACAGAGACAGGGAGCGAGGATGATGGACTGTTGGACTTAAGCGATGATGATTTCTTTCTGAGTGGAAGTTCCAGTGAAGAAGCTGATGCAGATGATGAATGGACAGAAAGTACAAGGTATGTGTAGCACCATGAGTTAAACTGCTCAATTGAACTTTGCTTCTTATCTTGATGGGAAAGGAAGTACGGACTCAGACACTCCCTTCACAAAGTATTTGTGCTTCACAGATGGAATGTGTTAGTTGATGGCGTTTTTGTTCCTTCTTATTGTTAGTCACATTTAGAACCAGAATAAGTTACAGATATGAATACACTGATGAAACTAGCACTAGAACTTCGTTTCACGTGGACACCGACCCCTTCATGTGGAACTGGAATCTGCAGTTGGCAGAAACAGTAGGTTCCATTTGTATTTAACTTCGGCCTTCCACAGTTTGTAGCTATGATACTTGGACTCGGGTGTGAGGTGTTTGATATGGTTATGTATCTGACACAGGTGTCTTCAATATTATCTAACTTTTCCTTCTTTTTCGAGGTCTGAGGGTCATAAGGACCCATATCTGGAAGTGTGTCAGACACAGATACTTAAGAAAAAGTCGGGGTAACAGTTTTGTAGTTGAACAAGTTAGAAATCTTTTTTCTACTCCTTTTGCTACGACAAAAAGTGCAGTTAAACATCTTTTCTATTTGAGTGCAGGGAACGTGCTCCTGGCATAGCGGCATCCAGCATATCTAGTGATGAAAGGAACAAGGTTCGTGATCGAATTAATTTTTGCGGTTTTAAGAAAATAATTGAATTTTAACTGTTTTAAATTATTCACTTTTGGATTCACTCTTGCCTGCTGCAACTTATAACAGAGGCAGGTTTAATGCTGCCTCCGAGGCCATCAAATAATTCTTTTTCAAACTCAGTACGTGCAAAATCAAGGTTCGGGTCTTCATCTAGCCGAAACTCATTGATACGAGGAGATGAAATGCCTACATCTAGCAACACATCTAAAAGCAGAAGTGGTTCTTCCTATAAGGGAGGGGGATCCTCCAATTCAAAGGCAGGAAACGTTAGTAACTTAAGTTCCAATTCAGATGCTCGCAAATCACGTCGAAAGAGGAGACCAAAAAAGAGAAAGCAACTGGTTTGTTGATTGTGATTATGATTTAATTTACTTCTTTGTTTCAGATTTTCTTTTACCCTGCCATGATTCATAAACTACTAGTATCCGAAAACCATAGTTTCATGGTAGTGAAGATGGTCTTAATGGCATAGTTTCATGGTAGTGAAGATGGTCTTAATGGCATAGTTTCATGGTAGTGAAGATGGTCTTAATGGTTAAAGCTGGTACAATTGTACTTTTCCCTTGATGTTACTTCTCCATCATGTCTGGTGGACTATGTTGCTCTGATTTTTCGCCGACTTATATTCGGACATGGATTTTAGATATCATCTTATATAGACATTCAAAATACATGAAATCTTGAAAAAAATAGAACATACCTATTTCAGACATAACACTTGATTGAGTCCGAGTAACGTAGCCGGCGGGAAATTTGTTGATGTAGTTGTTTGTATATGTTTTGCATGGAGGTCGTCTGAGCTGAAATATCTTTTACCCTGCCTAAGCCCTTGAGATAAAATGAACAAGCTACACTTTCCCTCAGTTGGAGGAGAAATCGTATTTTTCACAGAATGCTGAAAAAACGGGATTAAACCGCGGTTTATATGTTTCTTTTATCTATGTTATTTTGATTCGAGTGTTGGTGTTGAATACGGTTACATGTCCAAATAGGTATAATCAGTTTTTCCAAGTTTTGTGATGCATTTGATGTGTCTTTAGGGGTCATATCCCTTTTCCATGGGTCGAACTCCAACTCGATCTTATATATATTCTCTATGTATATATGGTTTTTAATATTAAAATTTTTGTGATTCATCGTCGAAATGGCCAAAAGAGCTGAATCGAAAGCAACCTAAACCGAAATTAACCTGAATCGAAAGCAATTCGAACCGAAATTAACCCGAATCGAAAGCAGCCCGAACTGATCTTAACTCGAACTGAAAGAAACCTGAAACAAATTTTAACCCGATTCAAAAGCAACCCCAATAGAAATTAATCCAGACCCAAAGTAATCTGAACCAAAAGAAAACCAAACCGAAAGCAAATTGACTTTAATTTGCCCAAATTTGATCTGAACCGAGCATTGACTTGATTTTTTACTTGATAAATGAGTAAAAGTAGACGAGTGATTATTGTTATTATATATATATTAACATGTGATAAATAGTAAAATAATACATGTTTTATTCTCTTTTTAGTTATACTCTTTTTTAGCCACCAACTTTATAATAGTTTAATAAATATCATATCACCTTTAATAATAATTTATTGATTTAATAAATAAAAATATTAAATTTATAATAAAAATATTAGAAAACAACTAAAACAAAAGAAATAATATTAGATTTATAACAAAAAATAATATAAAGTTTACTTATGTTTTGACTAAAATTTAACAAATAAAATTATTATTATTTTTAAAATTTAATAAAAATATTAAATTTATAATTGGAAATGAAATTCTTAATAAAAATTTATTTCTTTATCAAATAGTTCTCATTCTAAATTATTCATACAAGATCAATATAAAATTTTGATGGCAAGATCTAACACGCATTATAGGATCATATTTATGTCAAATGGTCGATTTATCATCTCTAAATGATGGTTTTATTCAAAATATCGAACGATTGAGAATTGAAATTAGACATAAATGATAAGATTAACAAACAAGAATACATATTTTTTACAATAATATATTAATAATTTTATATATACTTTATTAGACTCATAACCAATTTAACCTGAATTGACCTAATCTAAAGGTTGATCCAAACCGAAAAATTAACTGATTCGATATTGAACCAACCCAAAATCTAACCAATCTGGTATTAACCCGACCCAAAAATCAACTGATCCGATATGAACCCTATCCAAAAATCAATCGGTCTAATATTGATCTTAACTGAAAAACAGTCGACCAGATAATCGGTCCGATTTACTGTACACTTGAACTAGATCCGAACCAAAACTAATCCAACTCGAACAAAATTAAATTGAATATAATCTAGACCCGAAATAAACTGACCCGAAATGACCTGATCCAAACCCGATCTGAATGACTCGTTTTCCAACTCTAGTTATGTTCATGTATGTTTGTCTATTTTTTAAGATGTTCGTGTTCGTTGTGTCCGCGTCCATTTATTTATTTTTGAAATGTTCATAAGAATGATGAAATTATTCAACTAGTCCTTAAGGTCCTTAGACTTCACAATTTAAACTCAAAAATTTACTTTATGTTCAATTTAGTCTCAATCTTCATCAATATTTAAAATGTAAAAAAAGAAAAGAAAAAGAAGAGCAAGATAAACAAACATATAAACAAGTTTGTAAATGAGGTTGTTTGTGAATATAAATGAATTGAATACATATTATTTGTGTTTGTTGTTTATTAAACGCATAAAATAATATTTTACACTTGTTTATTTAAAAAAAATATAAATAAATGTTATAGAGGGCAAAAGTGCCCAGATAATGTTGTTGGGAATGTTTAATTCCCAAAATAATCCAGTCAGTCGATTATTTCCCCAAATGGGGTGAATGTTACAAGGTTACAAGCGTGCTTGGGATCTCTCGGTGTCTTCAGGGTTACGACAAAGCTATGAATTGTTGCATTCGTTCAAGGGATCTCTCGGCGTCTTTAACACAAAAATATCCTTACCAACTTGGATCTCTCGGCGTCTTCCATGCACGCTCGGGGGAATGTTTGGCGTCTTCAAGCATGGGAAAATGGATCTCTCGGCGTCTTCCATGCACGCTCGAGGGAATGCTTGACGTCTTCAAGCACGGTAAAATATATCTCTCGGTGTCTTCCATGCAATGGGAACAAGGAATGCTCGACGTCTTCACCCAGGGCTGAAGCGTGAGATTCGTTCTGCATGCGTCTGTATGCGTTGGGGCCGAAGCGTGAGATTTTTTCTGCATGCGTTGAGACCAATAATACGTCTGCACCCGACTAGACCAATAATGCTTTTTCTCGAGGTCTTAAAGACAACTGCAGGGATGATATTATAATTAAACCAATAATTAGTGCACCGACTTGTTATAAAATAGGGGTGGGGATTGCATTTCATTGCGTGCATGAGTTGGTTTTAACTTACAGAAGCAAGTGAGGATCGTGAATTTTGTTTTTTGCATTAGATTCAATTGGAACTGTTGCTTGAAGTGGATTTTCAGTGATATTGGAGATTTTTGTGGGTTCGATAATTTTTCGATCTTTGGTTTAACATCATTCAAAAACACGTAAGTTCTTTCTAATTTCCCATGTGGACTCCGTTTATTTTTCCTATTGAAAGAATGCTCATATGTTAGGAGAAATCAGGAGAATGATAAATTTAAATTTGTTCATGAGACCATAGTAATGTAATTTAAGATTGAGTATTATTGTTAATTTAAAATTAGAAAATATAAGTTTGATACAGAAAATTTAAGTTTGAGTATTATTGTTAATTTAAATTTCATGTAATTTTTAGTTGTATTTTTAGTTGTATTTTTATATAATAATTATTAGAATTTTTATTTGATTTAGTGGGAAAAAATTTCCCATTATGTAATCCTGACATTTTCACCGTAATAATAATGTATTTAAGTATTATTTTTATAAAAAAAATTGTTAACATATTTACATTTATTATTTATAGATTTGTAAATAATTAATTTTCATTATAATTATTAATGTAATTTATTCTGAATATCTATATTTTTACATGTAAAGAAAATGAGCAACAAATTTTTCATGATTGTCCATTACGCTGAACATATGATGGAAAATGAGGTCGGTGTTATTTTTCAGTATGAAACACCTATAAATATGATGTTTAAAAGGACATCATTTGTAGAGATGAATGAAAGGATAGAAAGAAAAATTTGTGCTAAAGTTGATGGTTTGAGGTACAAATTTATGGTATGTTCCAATCCGGTCAGGTATGCTGCAGTACCACTTGAAGAAGATGATGATATTATAACTATGGTTGAATTACATGACTCAACAAATATTCCAATTATTGAGTTCTTTGTTGAGTTATGTAATATATCTAATGTGCCTGGATCATCAAGAAATGCGGTTGGAACTTCATCTCAAATGGGTTTCTAGAGTCATTTCAATAACCCGACATATAGGTCGATGAACAGCTTTATGGCGATGTTGGAAAGTGCAAATGAAGTTGGTGAAACATCTGGAGCCGCAGAGTATGACGCTGAAAATCGCTGGGAAGAAATACTTGAAGATTCTAGTGAAGATGAAGAAATTGAGGAACCTCTTTTGGCTGAGGATGACGCCATGTTCGATGGTGATGAGACTGATATCAATATTGATGAATATCCGACACCGTATCAACCTACCCCTCACATGCAGGAGATTTATTATGAAGCAATGAGGGCACCTGAATTCCCAGAGATGCCACATTTAACTTCAAACTACATGATTGAATCATCTGATAACTCTGGTGAATTAGCAGTTGGGAAGCAATACAGAGGAAAAAAAGAAGCTACACTAGCGATTAAAGAGTATTTCATAAGAGGCCATGTAGATTGCAAGGTTTCAGAGTCCAACCAGAAAACTTTGTACGCGAAGTGTGTTAAATATGGGCCCGAGTATAAGTGGTTGATCAGAGTGTCCAAAATGCAGATGCAAGATGCTTAGGTCATCACAATGTACAATGGTCCACACACATGTTTGCAAAACTCTATTGTACAAGACCATCGACTATTGGACTCCGATGTAATTTGTCAATATGTGAAGGTTTTGGTTGAACAAAATCCAAGGATCCCTTGCTCGGTGTTAGTTACATCTATTCAAGACCAGTTCAGATACAATGTAAAATACAAACCCGTTTGGCATGCAAAGGAGAAGGCAAGGAGGTTGATATATGGTGATCAGGAACATCATATAATGAGTTACATGATTTGTTATGAGCTATGAAACAATTCATACCTGGAACCATCGTGAAGTCTCAGACCATGCCTGCATACAACTAAGAAGGTCAACTTATTCAAGGGAAGAGAATATTCCATAGACTCTTTTGGGCATTCAAGTCTTGCATAGAAGGTTTTCCATTTTGCAAACGTATGGTCCAAGTAGATGCTATGTGGTTATACGATCAATACAAACATATATTATTGATAACAATTGCGCAGGATGGTCAACGAAATATATTCCCAACTGTATTCGCCATCGTTGAAGGAGAGACGACAGAGGCTTGGGACTTCTTTCTGACTTATCTACGTAAGTATGTCGTCCGAGAAGAAGGAGTTTCCTTGATATCCGATCGAGGAACAAGCCTTTGGAAGCAATTGAACGAGCGGGAAGTCGTTGGACACCTCCG